AAATTATAAATGTGAGGTGGCCGGATATAATATCAAATGATGTCTTGTGGGAGATAACAAATCAACCACCGATTGACGAGCAAATTAAGGAAAGAAAGTGGAGGTGGATTGGCCACACATTGCGCAAGCAACCTGGAGCAGTTGAAAAGACAGCACTGGACTGGAATCCGCAGGGAACACGGAGACGGGGCCGTCCGAGGAAGACATGGAAGAGAACGGTGGAAGAAGAGGCTATGGAAGCTGGTAAGTGAAGTGAAACGCTTGGCTGTCAACAGAACTAGATGGAAGGTCTTCACTGCTGCCCTATGCTCCACCAGGAGTAACAGGAAATAACTAACTATGTCACAGCTTGACTTTCATGCAACCTGCTGTTAAGTCGTGCAACTACTGCAGGTATATATATGACACGGTTGAGAGCCCCAACCACTTCATTACCCTGAGGACGAGGACAGATGTGGACCTCAAAACGTTGTTCTCCTCATGTTTTAACCACTTGATGAGGCTGACAGCCCGAGAGGATTTTATTGTAATGCAATATATTTAACATCACATAATTTCGTTCATTGATGTATATTATTGTGACAGACAACACATAATCCATTCCATAATAATAATAATTTTTGGTAGAGCCTAAAACTGGTTAAATATGGTTGACACCTGTAGCCATTTATCTACTAAGTAGCTTGTTATTTTCTTGTCAATTTTTCAAACACAAGTAATGAAATATCACTGATTGTATGAGGCAAAAACAAAAGGCACCAATCCTTAACTTTATAATTTGCAATGCATCTATCAGATACAAGCTTAAAAAGCAATGGAGGTTGTTATCACTGTGGTTGGGCGCTGCTTGCGGATTTCATCCAGAGGAGGTGAAACAAATGAGAAACTGCAATACATATTACAGAAGTCACATGCAAGCAGGCAAATTAATATGTACCGATATGCCCTTACTGCAGTGTTTATAAGACAAGACAAATGTTGTCTCTGAAAATATGATGAAAATTGTACCTTCACTGTAAAACAAAGACCAAGCTCACGAATATTTAAAAACTCTCTGTGTTGTGTCCGACTCTGAATGTTCAATACAGCCTATCTCAGCGTCCATCATCAGACCTCACTCAACTCGGCGTAATCCACATTATCAACATAAATTTATTAACGTATAATTTCAGGTCCTCACAGTGATGAATATGAAGATGTGTTTCTTGTGGACTGTCATGCAATCATGTGGTGGACGTTTACCCATATTTCAGAGGTGCTTGCTGCCTGCATCATAATCTCCCTGATAATGGAGGTACCATGCACCTCTGAAACGTCTGTAATCGTCTACCATATGACGACATTACAACCCACAGGACAGCCACCTTCTTAAAAGGTACATTTAAAAATTTTCAACAGTTTAAGTGGCCCGTCCCCTGCAGAATGAAAGGATGTCCAGACCTCAAATAGCTGGAAATATATTGGAAGGCAGGTGGGGTGCTAGAAGCGCCTCACTGGAAAAGTTCTAGTACGTTACAAAATGTCACACGTGGCTAATGTCTGGACTAGCTGAGTAAATACTCAGCTTCAAGAAGAGACTGTACTTCAGGAAGTTAACAACCCATTATGTTACTGATATCAGTCTGCAGTTCACAGTCATGACCATTATTTTGCTAATACCTGCTACTTCAGGAAGTTAACAACCCATTATGTTACTGATATCAGTCTGCAGTTCACAGTCATGACCATTATTTTACTAATACCTGCCATTTATATGCATTAAGCAAGTTAAAGAATAAGGCAGTGTGAATTTTGAATCATACCAGAGTTACAGTGCACAAATGTCAGCGAAGGCCTAATAAAAACAGCAAAATTTATATTATTATGTTACTTGAAGGCAATATGGCCCTCAGGTTCAGCACCTTTTCTAAAAGTAATAGAACATCAAAAATTAAACCTTATTCCCATGCAACACAAACTAAAATTTTGCAAATTTTTGTACTGACCTTGAAAGTGAGGCTGAGTGCCTAGTAACTGAGGGTGAGCATCCACGCCAGACTGGTCTTCATCATCATCATCGACAATGTTGTCATCGAGAAGCAGGAAATATGGCAGAAATATCGCCTTTGCCCTGATGTCAACCCACGTGGTGTCCTGTAGTACAAATCACAAGTGAGCCATGCCTCATGGCTCGAAGTGGCCTATCTCCCCTCTCAACGTTCTTTGGAGTCGCTCGCTTCGAGGCCCTGATGGGACAGCAGGGTAGACAGTCTGCGTGTGTCCGCTGGGCAGCGAACGAGTCGAAGAGGGATAACTTGGAGACAGATAGTTCTTAATTTTTTGGTTTGACGTAGCTAGTCGTAAGCCCGACCGGAGCCTGAGCCTTGGAAGTTTGTTCTCTTTTCAATTTATATATATATTTTTCTAAATACATGTTGGTAATTTGGGAGTGCTTTTATTTGTATTTGGGTTAACCCTTGTGATAATCCTACGCCATACCACCTCCAGGCCTCTGGGATAAATTGGATTCCGTTAACGAGAGCCGGAATGGCTGACAAACTTTAATGGTATGGAACAGCGTGCTTATTGCAGACTGAAGCCTGGCAAAGCAGACACAAGTGCACCTCAGTTTAAAAGACCCTTCAATTATCAAGCAAGCATGTACAAGGATCATGAAATGAAGTCTTCTGTGTAAATACAAACTGTGCTCTTTGTAAGTGTTTTGCAATGTCGCATTTACTGGGACGGAAGTTTCAAGTTGTCTGCTCATGTATTGTGAGGTTTCTTCTGAAATTCTGACCTCCCAGCAAGTTTTGCAGTGTCTTCCTAAGCCTGTTAATATATTTTATTATGTAACTACTGCGAATGCTTCCAGAATTATTGCACATGAGATGTTTCATTAGGAGGAGCCATTCCCAGAGGGGCACAGGGCCTGGGTAAAGATCGACATCTGTAAGTTTTACTTTACTTAAACTGTACATGTATTCCTGTCTCTATCCTATGATTACAATTAAACTAATATGCTCTGTGTTTATTTTCTATCTATAGGGCGCTTAATTTGTCACTCAGCATGAAATATATCATGCTTCATAATGTAAAAATGTGGGGTTCTGAACACTCACCCCACCTTACGGATAGCCCGCTGCTGGAAACGTAAACCACATTTTTATTTACTGATGTTCAAAAAAATTATATCTAGAAATATTAAAACTGGACACTGGGTTTTATTATTAATACAGTAAGGTCCCAATTATCTGACCTTCGGTTATCCAACATTCCATTTTATCAAAGTGCCACCTCAGAATGTTTCATTTTACGAGCTGCCAACTGAGTACGTAGCAGAATGAATCACACTTCCTGACCAAGCCCCTTCTACATTTTGTGAAATCAGTTTCTTCAGAGTGCCTTCATAATTGGTTTTGGAGAGAACGAGGCGTTAGGAGAGCTACCTTCATCTCTTTCCTTAGGCTTCTGGATTGACATTTTTAATTATCTGATCATCCTTACATCCTGCTTAGATTTGATAATGAGAACTCTAATGTATTAGATCCATGAACAAGGCAATTAAGAACTGAAACATTTATATTTTACAGTAACAGATGTGTGAAAAAAACTTAGTGTTGAACGGACGCCTCTTCATTTTCTCGGTACTCGTTCTTCCCTTGCCTGAACATAATTTGGTGTCACTCACTATGAGATTTGGCACTCATGGTAGGAAGTGTTCGAGCACAATTACATCTGTTTTCAGAATTAGACTGCAAGAGAAGATTTAATTCATTTCTCTCCCATTAGAAAGTTACATCTCAAATTATATTCCAAAGAATGTTTCTCATTTTTGAAACTTTTATGATAATGGCTATTTTAATTTAGGTTTCTGGATTAGCAAATATTGTTCTCCTACAATAAAATCTTAGTTCTTTCGCTTTGGGAATCATTTCCTTCCCTGTCCCTCACATTGTTTATTCCCTTATAAACATAATTACTTATTTCCTGTTGGCCATCAGGTAGTTTTCTGCCTGGATTTTGTAAATGCACCTACTTCAGTGGCATTAAAACAGACAATATATATTAACTGAGTCTTTGTTAGGGACAAACTAATTTGTTTAGAACTTGTTTAAAAAACTTGCTGTTCAAAGGGAACATGGATATCCAATCTGTTTCCAGATGCCAAGACTCACTCAAATATCATCTGCTGGTTGATCTCTCCTTCTGCTCCAAAAGGCATAGCTCTTGACAGCATCTTGTGCGTCAAAACCGCGCAGCTCCACCAATCAGTTGCCTGCAAGAATTCAAATTAGGACAACAGCTGAAATGAGTCATTTTTATTTCTTCACTCCTTCCATCGCAGACACTCACAATGGCCTCCAGAAACAGAAAAATTAAGAATATGAACAAACAGAGTTCTTTATTTCGTGCATCCGATTTTAAGTGGAACATTTCTAAGAACAAACAGTTGCTTTCTTCGTAAATCAAGATGACATAGTAATTGTAGCCAGACATACACCATGCTGAGTTTTCTATGGTTTTCCTTGTAAATCTTTTTATTTGTAACTTAAAAGTTGCTTTCTTAATTTTACTTTTCAAATAATATTACAAAATCATTACATTTGACATTGATGCTCTCAGCAAATGAGTCCGCATTATTAACAAATATAATGAAAATCCGATCCCAGGTTCTTCAATGTGGTCGGACAGACGGCCAACTAACACAAACAAAAGAGCTAACAGGGGTATTTTTTAAAATTTGAGTTGTTGACATGCTATGATGACTCTGGTATGTACTTATTTCATTGCTGCAAGCTTAATTACATTTCTTATCAAAAGAAGTTCTTGCAAATTTTGTTGTATACTTTAATACAAGAGGTGAATGTCACACTATATTTAACATTTAAATTTCAGTTTGTGTCTTGGATGTTAATATCTTCCTCTATGTTTTGAAGAATAATGGAGCCAACATAAAAAATTACAGCTAATACTGTACTGTACTGTACTGTATAAGGAGCTTTTACTTAACAGATGCATTTATTTATTCGCCGTAGTTTGTATGGTAATTTTAATGTGTAAGTAAAAAACAAAACCACAAAATACGCGTAACTAGGAACTTGCATTTATTACGTACAGAGAAAAAGAAAACTATGCTAGCTCTGATAACATGGGGAACTCACAGCATGTTTCCCAGATAAAATCACCTACAGAAACTGCTTAATAGACCATAAGCAGGGCTGAATGAAGACCGAAGCAGGACTACATTAGTTTATCCTGCTGACAAAACAACATTTTACATAAGTTCCAGGACAGGACTTAAAAAACAGATGCTACTCACTAGCTGTGGTACTAGAAGCAGAACACTGAGGACAGCTAGCATTCAAGATTATCAATGGAAACAGTTCAAAGCCAGTTCCGTTCAGTTCATCACTTACCTTCATAACCCTTTTTCTCTAACATCCAGCCTACATGCAGAAGATTAGCCTAAGTGGGGAAAAGGAAAATTTAATTTTCTTGCTTTATGAACATTGTTTACAAAAGCTAAATGCTGAATCTTAGAGGGTAATGGTAATTTTTGGTATTTTAATATGTAAGTAAAAAACAAAACCACAATATACGCGCAACTAGGAACTTGCATTTATTACGCACAGAGAAAAAGAAAAATATGCTAGCTCTGATAACATCGGGAACTCACAGCATGTTTCCCAGTTAAAATCACCTACAGAAACTGCTAAACAGACCATAAGCAGGGCTGAAAGAAGACTTTATGCCGTCACACTGCCTCGCTTTCTTAACTTTACTTTTTAATTAATATTACAAAATCATTCTGTATTTACATTTGACATTGATGCCCTCAGCAAATGAGACCGCATTAATAAACAAATATAATGAAAATCCGATCCAGGGTTCTTCAATGAGGTCGGACAGACGGCCAAGTAACACAAACAAAAGAGCTAACAGGAGTATTTTTTAAAATTTGAGTTGTTGACGTGCTATGATTGATGACTCTGGTATGTACTTATTCCATTGCTGCAAGCTTAATTACATTTCTTATCAAAAGAAGTTGTTGCAAATTTTGTTGTATACTTTAATACAAGAGGTGAATGTCACACTATATTTAACATTTAAATTTCAGTTTGTGTCTTGGATGTTAATATCTTCCTCTATGTTTTGAAGAATAATGGAGCCAACATAAAAAAATTACAGCTAATACTGTACTGTACTGTACTGTACTGTATAAGCAGCTTTTACTTAACAGATGCATTTATTTATTCGCCATATTTTGTATGGTAATTTTAAGTATTTTAATGTGTAAGTAAAAAACAAAACCACAAAATACGCGTAACTAGGAACTTGCATTTATTACGTACAGAGAAAAAGAAAAATATGCTAGCTCTGATAACATGGGGAACTCACAGCATATTTCCCAGATAAGATCACCTACAGAAACTGCTTAATAAACCATAAGCAGGGCTGAATGAAGAGTTTCTGCCGTCACACTGCTTGTTACCTGGCCAATGCAGCACCAGAAAATACATTTACTTCAGCCGTGCTTAACATAACAAATTACTACGGTAACCATTTAACGCGGCTAATTGCCCGAGAAGATTTTATTGATAACACATTTATTCCCGACTGTACCCAGCATGTTACAAGACTGCAGATTCAAGATACACATATATATTTGTACTTTCAAATCTTATCAGTTGTATTATGAATAACGAACACTCAGTTATACTTACCGTGCAATCTGCTAACTTTAAAACTTCGAAGGTAAGCGCCTACAACGAAATATTTCTTCAACATACATGAACAATGCCACTACAGCCGCCATAATAGCTCTAGACTGTTTGTATGCTCTCACCAGAGATGTCAGCGCGAACAGAGCGCGCTCAATTCAAATCTGTGATCTGTGAGTGGTCACATGTCTTACATACACAGCAATTAAATTAACTGATGTCCAGACGCCTTTTATTTAATAACGCACGAGTCAGAAACCTCCGGACTCCGTCTTCTTGTCAGGTACGAGATTCTTACTCAGCCTCAGAAACGAGCGACTGTCTCCTCGTCTCTGCGGACGAGAGGCCTCAGCAGAGAAGAGGAGAAATTTTGCTTCTTTTCGTATTTAGGTACAAGACGAGGAAGCAAAAAGAGCCTTAACGAATGCGCACGCACTTTTAACAGGAAATGCGATTTCGTTTGCAGTCTTGCGACGAAACTCAGACGTCCTGGACTCGCTGGACAAAGAATTCGAACGAGTTGTTCCCGAGGACTTTCCGGTGGCCATAAATACAAGTAAATCGCATGAAATTTCTGATATCATCAGGAAGTTTTATTTCGGAGATCTACATGTATCTAAAGAAACTTTTCTACGTTTCGTTGATATAAGTAAGAAATAATTACACGATGAGGTAATGTCACTGCATTAAATATCTCCACGCAAGAGATTCATTCCTCCGAAGCTAACAGCTGTTAAATTGGTAAAAGCGCTTCATCTTTAATAAAACCTGAACATTCAATACTGCGTTACAGAAGGAGACGAAAACTAAACTTTTAGTGAGAATGTTACCAACATATTAAAAACATATTATTCCTTGTATTAAATTGCTTTAATTAAGGCCCAGAATAACAGAGTTTTTTTAATATATTTTCTTTTTCTTAGACTTGTCAGATGAACAAAGGAAGTGATTTACTGACTAATCAAGTTTCGAGGGGCCACCGCAGTGGCGCCTTGAATCATGAAGGCAATGGCGGCCCTTCGTGACTAACAAGCAAGCAGACAACCACAATCGAAACTTAATAAGCTTAGAACCCGAACTAAATCACGCGTAACGTCGTACGTCGTACGAATTTTGTCTTTCTGGAAGTTCGTTGTTCGCAAATAATGACATTTTAGGTTCTCAATTCTGCGAGTCTAAACACGGCTTTCTTCCGGGCTACTGTGTGGTACACGCTTATCGACCTGTCAGAAGAGCAACCGACCTGATGTTGGAGGCTCAAGCACCTCTGAAACGCCGGTAAACTTCAACCAGACCGCACGGCACAACAGCCCAGAAGACAGCCATCTTTCGCACTTTGTTTCGGGGAACCACATTTGCACTTTATCGCCAGTATCTGGCTCAGACTTGAGTTCCGTGCAAGATCGAGGTGAATCAGTGTCGCAAAGAAAATTAACTCTGTACTCATTGCGCGTTCTTATTTCACAGATGTTTGGTTCGTGAAGCATGTCAACGACGCAGTCGAACAGATGGCATCGGTTTCCACCTCACCAGATGAGTTCTCATTCAGCGGGGCTTTCGGGAGAATAAAGAAGTTTCTAAACGTCGAAAATTTCCTGGGTAAGTTTCATCAAGTTATCATTATTCCAAAATGTGTTTTGCTTCTGAACGAGAGGAGCATGTCATTACCTCTCCGTTTCTACTAATTCTTTAGGGGCAACGCACGAGGACGAATTGAGGTACCTGTTTAACTACCCGCTGTCAGCGAGTCCGATCTTTCTGGGACCCAACGATCCTGCCGTGGTGACTCAGGACAGAATGGTTAAAATGTGGACAAATTTAGCCAAAAATGAATAAGTTAGAACAGCAAATTTGAAGTTGGACTTGCGCCGGAGACAAGTTAAGGAGGTAAATTCTGCGTCCTGCAGAGTTCTCCCACGTACCCGGATGAAAATTCATTTCACTCTGCATCTCTGAGAGTTTGAATTCTCGTGGTTTTGTGATTGTCACAGACAGTTAAGCAAACTGACAAAAAATATTTGTCGATCATTTAGTTCTTTCTCAGCGTTTACTAGCAAATCGTTTGCGGACGGCATTGAAAGCGCAGACTCACAGAAAAAACCTTCCTGCTGTTAGTTTCCAGGCCGAACCTACGCTAAATCTCCTCAGACAAGTCTGCAGCTATTGATCCCACAAAAACCACACTGATGATGAAGACAGTAAGTTCCTCTGAAGCGTCAGTGAATATCCACACGGTGTTAAAACCTAGACGAAAGGCATCTTTACGAATTCACCAGTCTTCAAAATGCCTCTTACATAGTATATGCTTGTCCAGTATTAAGTAGTTTGCACTTTCAGGGACCCCTCGCCAGCAGAGGACCCACTGCTGAATGTCACGTCGGCAGCGTACACCGTCGATGAACACTCGTACCTGAATATTGACCAGGAGCTGACCTTGCGGCATGACCTCAACAAACATTGACTACAGTTCTGGAAAGATCTGTATAAATCTATGCGCTCGTAAACGGTGATGTGACCATTTCAGTATTTCTTGTAGTTGCATCTGAAGCATTAAATTGGTTTGTGAAGCTACGTAAATATTAGCATGCAAAACGTTGTAACTTGACAGTTTTCAACACCGGTCCTGCCACCACAAGATGCCCATTTACATAATAAGAACTTCCACACGCTTAATTAATCGGAACGGTATTGAATGGAACTAATAATTTGCTTTTCTCTTCTAGCGATGTTAATTTATTAGCGAATTCTTATGCAGGTTACCGCAAAGAACAACGCATAGCATTACATCCGACCTGTCAAATAGGTACATAGATATTTCCCTATCGTACTTGCCTTCATTGACCTATTATGATCAAAATTTATGAATGTGACATTAGGGGATGACAAATAAGTATACAATTTTGATGGACAGTCACATGGGAAGAGGCCATTTGTTCAACGACATTGATTTTGATGAATTTGGATGAAGTTGATGGAACGACAATATTAAAACCGATCTTAAGGAAATTATGTTTGAGGGTGTGGGCTACGTTCTTTATTTTGCTCGGGGGCGGCGCCACAGAGAAGTCTGGAGACGCGTCGCTCTTTCGCTGTGATGCCAACGTCGTATGATTCAAATCAGATTCTGACTACCCGTCTATGATGTCCTCAGCTTCATCGGAATGATACCTGATTAGACGTTCGTTTACACTGCTACAAACATTTCCTGCAGCACAGTAACATCGGAATTTCGTACGCCAATGTCTTATCCTGTATTCTGGACCAGAAAAGAGAAGGAACGATATCTTCGCTTCGAATTCCCTCACCGCAGCCACCAAAGTGAGGGGTAATAATTCCACCTCATACGCATCAGTCGCCTTCGAACAGACGTCCGGTTTCAACCTCAAAACACAATTTCGACTCAAAGGCCACTGTTAAGCCATTGTTTCCTACCCATTCCTGCAGAGCTCATCATCCGTTGTTTTGCGCGAACAAAATGCGTGGTTGGAAAACACGGACATGTACACAAGGCGCACGATTTGACAGTCAATGGTTTATGTACAATGCATATGCATCAGATTTTATGCCTGCGAGGAACACGGGACTTCTCTTATTGTCATATTTATAGACGCGACTTCATAAAAGAAAAATGATCATGGCCTAAATAGCAGATGGCGAACTCGGTTATGGAGATTTGAACTCAACTTACACTTGGCACAGAAAAGTGCTAAGAGAAATCTGCGCAGTTAGCAGGCAGAAATGTGCATTTAATCTAATCTGAGGTTAATGAACGTTTTATTTACAACTTCTCCGACTTCGTGTATCGTGTGAAATAAGCACACTATTTAAAATTTAAACGTTCTTGTCTGAACTAGTTTCGAAACTTTAGTGAATGACAACACTTTGTTCATTAGGTGTAATATTTGCTATTCCTGATTAATTTTCCGAGTAATGCAATCTGAGATTACGCAGATATGTACCCCATTTCTCTGGTTCGATAACGAATATTCTTCGAAGTCTTAAAACCACAAAGAGTAGAAGAAAAATTAATTTATAGTGTGCAGTGGCTTACCTCAAAGTTGTAGAGCTTAACAATTCGGTAGGAGCACACAAAGCAACGCGTGTATTTTTTATGATAACAAAAAAGGCTGGAAATGCATTGCAGGCGAGATACACATCCTCGCGTTGCTGATAACTACACTTAATGCAGCAACACTGCAGAGAAGGACTATGAATTCATTGACGGAATTAAACATAACCAGAAAACAGCCTGCACATCGCAAACCGCGTGACCCACATAACTAGAGAAGAAACTTACTTCAACGCAACTGTAGAGGTCGGTCAACCTCCAGTCTTGTTCGGACGGAGTTTGACTTGACTTGCACTCCGGACGCACTCTGTTCGAATCCTGACTGACGTAGGTACTTCCTGCACGCCAGGGCACTAATTGGCTACTTCCCTGACACTACCCACAAGCGCTTCTCCTCGTGTATTTTCAGATTCACGGCTTTTATTCATCTTAGCCAAGCCTCATTTGGCACTACATCAATTAAAACAGTTGATACAACTTCCAATTTCGATGTTTTATGAAGGCCTCGATTACGCATTGGATTTCGTCAGTAAACGGCGACCAGAACAACCGGAGTGGCGTCTCCGTGCCCGCAAGTGAAATTAAATACAATCGAACGGTTCGATTTCACGTTTCTCGCATTTCGCTGTTCTGGCGGCGATCTGATAGTGCGACTCGACGGGGCATTCGCCGCCACGCAAGAATGCCATCGAAAATTGCGACGGGATGGTCAGCAAACCCGCTTTGTATTTGGGAGATATCGATTTCAGAACTCGACTCGCATCTGATTGTGTACTGGCACAGTGCCTTAAATAGGCCACGACATCTATCATCCGCCTCTTTCCCAATGCATCATCCACGAAACCCGCTGTAATATTTGCTGCATATCTGAAGACGTTTATAAAGCGTTCGTCGTAAAATAAATAAACAAATAAATCGATCGTGTGTACGTACCATGAATTAGTGCGTTTCGCCTTCCTGAAAACGGAAAACAGTCGGCTTTAGAAACGTCCTCAGACCTTAGATTGACACAAATGTCCGAAGGAACTGATTTAACATCGATGTTCATCACAAACCCTTGCACGCTTCATTAACCGTCCTCTGTCGCCACGACCGCGTGATGCATCACGTATGATTTGAAGCACGGACGCCAAGTTGCACGCGAATTTCCGAATGCCAGGTCATATTTTCTTCCTTTGTTTCTATGTCCTTCATGGATTTCATTACAGTTTATTTGATTGCACTACAAGAAAGAATATATTGCTTACGAAAAATTTGTCAAGCATAAATTTAGACTGAACTTGCCTTGTGTTATAACACAGCAATATAAATCATCCATACATTTATCAACACCTCTGCCGATCGCAGTGAGAGGCGGGCAGACGCTTCAGTATGTATCGAAATATTTATACATCTCATGATTTGAGCCTGCTTTGAATAAAACACCGGAACAGAAATCCATCTTCCCGAAATACGTAGATAATCGATTTTTTGACTCAAGAAGGATAAACTAATTGGGAAGTTCAGGATATCACTGGACGAACGAACAAATTCGTGATGTTTACAGGCCAACTAACAGGTTACTTAAAAAAGGGCAGCATCGATGACCTGCGCATTTGCCCTGTGCGGGGATAAAAGAAATGCTCACAGAATTTGGTGCAGGCACGGCCGTTCAAGAAACGACGTTCCCGACGAAAAGCGCGTCTTTATTCAGCACGAGGTAAAATGGCTTTGTCTACATACACAACACTGTAAGCGAGGATGAACCTTCCACAGCTGTCAAGTTTCCTACTGCGAAGTTAAATTTGAGTACGTAACTGTTTTCTGAGTTAAGGAGCTAAAGGCGAAACGTAAAACGAAGAACGACAACAGGTTCAGGTAACACGGATTGTGTGATTACTGATCAAAACTGCGTAGAAGTGTACAGCAGTCAGCAGAAATATTGCTTGGAGCCTCGAATGTTTGAATAGATAAATATTTTCTCATGTGATGGTAAAGTTGAGTCATATTGTGATATAATAAATATATATTATTTAAATCTTGTCCGTCTAAATACAATAAATTCTTATTAAATATTAAAATATTACAATAATTAACATTTAAAATATTTAAAATATTGTATGATGTTCTTTATCGAAATATTCGATTTACATTAGACCATCATTTTTCACGACATGTTTCAGTTCCTAAAAGAACTATCGTCAGGTGTATATAATTATATAAAGATTCAAATCAATAATAACTTAAATACAATTTCTTAAATACAATTTCTATATATTATTTTAGCGTACATTTTTATCAGATGTTGTCAGATATCAAACGATGTTCTTTTCCAGATTTTATTCCATTTTAATAACATATTCGATGTTGTTCTGTATATGTATATCATGCTCATTATGACTTTAGTGTGGGCGAACGTTTTTGTTGTTTTTGTATCAGCCTGTAATGTAAATAATATAAAGACTAAATGAATATTAATAAAATAGAAAATAAAATAATATATTGAAATAATGAAATATAATTTTGAAACATACCAGAAATGAAAGTTGTAGAGGAGTTACATCTGTCTGGAAGTATTGCCGTGTTTGAACTGAACTGTGTTCATTATGTGCCGCAGGCCGTGCACGCCGAACGACTTTTAAAGGGTCTGAGCTGGGCTTCGTCTACGTCAGGGGTGGCCAATCCAAATGATCTTTCGGGCCACTTTGGAAATGCATCATAACTCCGCGGGCCACATATAAAATTATATATCCACAAATATTGTATTTTTTAATACATTGGTTTTCACTACTTTGGCCTTTATAAAATAAATATATTTTGTAAAAGTGTGATGAATCTCGCGGGCCGGAAAAATGTTCAAGGCGGGCCACATGCGGCCCGCGGGCCGCGGGTTGGCCACCCCTGGTCTACGTCATGCATGGGTTAATCCTTGCTGACAGCAAAGATAACCGAGGTGTTTCAAATGACGTTCGTCATCTGTCTGTCAAATTTCTCCGTCTCTGAAACATTGCACTACGGCGCCATCTTGTCGCCTGACAAGATCTTGTTGCATCTAGTCGCCGCGAAACCTTCAAGTCATATCTGCAAACAGTTTTTTATTGTATGTGTATTGCGTACTTGCGTATGTAGAATTCGTACCAGTCAAATTGTTTGTTTTTACTGTTAAAGTTTGGAACAGTTATTTATTAAAATATTGTAAAATATTTCTGTTTTTAAAAATACATTAAGGTCAAAGAATCAACATAAATTAAAACATGTGAATAGCCAGAAAGGAATCTCATATCACAAACAATGGCTAGTTTCTTAGTAGCCTGACGTGGTAACTAGACAAATGTACATAAATGATTGATGATGAATTAATATCACATAGTCATGCAGAATCAAATGACTTTTTAAAGAACAGTTATATCATAAAGACGTGAAAGTGTGACTGACTTCATGGTACTGTTCTGGCATTTGACTGGAAGAACAAAGAAAATTATGACAAAACTCTGCAAATTATCCAGACTGAGATCTGAACCAA